TGGTCTCGGGCATTATGCATAATGCCTCATTCATCACTTTGTCCATACATATATATTAATTAGGGTATTACTATCTGTTTCAAATTCTGCTCCACCTTTGCTGTTATAAACTCTGTCTTGGATTATTATTCTATCAGCTTCATCGGATAATTGATGAATATTACACTTATTTACATATCAGTCAATCGAGCATTTTCTTACGCGGAAAAATAATACGCAGACTCACGTCACAAATTTGCACCATGATACATGAAATACAACATAAGATTAAATGCATTTTGTGCTGCAGCACACAGGCGCCAGCCGCGCACATAATTTAACGTAGAATATTATACAAAGATATATCATATACAGAGATAAATAACAAAGTTTGGTGAATTAACAAGATCAATATTTTCTATAATTATGCATGCATGTGAATAAATTCACTCACCAGTGTTGTACCCTAGCTAAGTACGCCCTCCGGCTGCACTTGAAAAAATTAATATACATATAAATTATTATATATAATAATACATTTCACTTACATTATTTATTATGTATTATTTACTTCTTTCCACTTTGATTAAATAATAATTATACTCAATAAATTGTGTATACTCACCAGTTAGGGTATTGCAGTCTGCTCCATCCACTGCAGATTCTGGTATTTCCATTGCATCAGCACTAACAAAGAATGGATGAATGCTTCCTGGAAATCCACTCGCACTTTGTTACACTCGCGCACTTCACTTTCGAAAAACAACGTCAAAAATCACATCGTAAATTGTGGTATACGAAACGCAAACGCGAGATACAATAAAACTCACTTCGTACCGTGTCGCGTCCACGCACATATTTGTAGCACAGAATATCACAACATGTAGCGGTCGACATTACGCACATTCAGAGCGAGACTATTACGGCAATCGAACAGAAATCAACAGATACGGACACGTACGCGACAATATTTTACCCGATATAACTCCGACAAACTGATTTTTCAATATGTGCAACTAATCAACATGGCGCTTTGATTGTTTTAAGCATATTGACATAGTGGTCATTTTCGCGTGCCTATTGCATGAAAATTTGTACTTACTGAACCACAGCAATTTGAATTCGCTTTCCCGCGTCAAAGCGGTTGATAAAACACCGGTAGTCACGATCACGTACGCGATATGTGATACATTCCAACAATCGCCCGTCACTTTAATCGACACTCTCGACAAGAACTCGCACTTATTACGCACTTTGAAGGAGTAAATCGCGGTTAAACGCGGTTAATCACGGCTAATCGCAGAGCATTCACGTCCGCATTACGAGCTGACGAGCCGTGATGACTGTCAATAAATTGTCATGGTGACCGAAAGATGGCGTATGCGGCACTAAATGTTCCTATGTTTCGGAACAATAAGCGCCATCGCCCGGGATATATCAAAATGAACTATTCGATTAACATGTACTTTTAGCAAATAATATAAACAATGATCGTTTTGGAGATCACGCTAAGTTTGTCAGGTAAAAATTACAGATTTATATTACGAATTCGCTATATCGTAATTCAGCAATAATTCAGTAATACACAAAAATGCGAGATACACATATAATTATATTACCTTAGATATTTAACAGTCGACCTGACAAACATTATATAATCACAAAGGCATAAACACAGAGCGAGCGAGATGAACGAAATTTTAGCCGTCACAGAGCTTATCACGGAGATTATCGCAGAGATACAAAGCTGAACATTCAATACGCTACGTCTAATGAAAAGTACATTGCACTACAATGTTCTTAAGCATAGAGATTATTGTATGTGTTTACGATATCAAAATCTGTGTATTCACTAGAAATATAACCTATTTTGATCGATGATCTAACTAATAATCTAACTAATAATCGAAACACTTTTAATCGTGAATATTGTATATAATCGTATATAATATTCACGGCATATACATTCCGGCAATCTGCTTTAAGCGATACTCTCAACACAAACTCGCATTGTTTTGTTTCAGTATAAATATAACAACCGATTCAAGCTCGATGAAACGTATACTCCCTCTTTTGCGCCAACTTGCAGTTGGCAGCAGTCGGTAGTAAAAATACATATAGGCTACGTTCGGAAACCTCACACTGTGTAGTGTGGTGATTTTCAGTGGAGAAGTAGTGGGGATATCGTGTGCCTTCGGGTGTAGAGTGTTTCCGAACAGGTGGTTGTGCGTTGATGGATATTTTGATTTCGATCGTGTCATCCGGACAATCTATAGTGACACTAAAATCTAATTGTCTTTGCGTTTCGATCTCCTTGTCCCACGATCAATCTTTTAATTTCAATTTAGGAATCTCAGGAATTTTTGGCGCACGCACTTCTAAGTATTATATAATTACAAAATATGTACTCATATCAGTCGCTACATTATACGACAAATGCAAATTTATAAATGTATGTAGGTTCATATATCGCGATTTGTATATAATTTTCAAAGCTAAGCAGTTTTATTTTTCCTAGTGAATATCTTTGCCATTCTAAGGTTACGTTCGAAAACGTTACTCTTGAATCACACTGACTCCCCTTGCTTTTTCGGCGAGTGGTTTCGTGGCACACTGGTGGTACTCGTTCAACGTTTTCGAACGATTCACCCGAATGCACATTAAGTACCACTAACGTGTTTCCGAACGGTTATTGTGTGTTGGTGTGCACACAGTGTGTGTTTCCGAACGCAACCATAATCGTGAAGTTCATTCTACGTACGAATAGCGCATTTGACAAAGAAAAAGTTTGGAAAAACAAATATAAATCATTTGACATAAGATAAACATCAATAATCTATTCTACATATATATATATATACCTACAGCATACTAATTAACATAATCCGAGAAGGCATGAATAACGAAGAAAGAGTCGATCAAAAGAAATCGTTGAACTAGAAGGGATTTGAGCTCATAAAGTGTGACGTCACTATATTGATATTATCATCAAGCCAGGAGAAACTCTATCGCAACAGTCTTGATTCTACCTTCGTGAAACGAACACGTTCTCCGAACGCCTATGAATGAGAAAATCCGTACAGTATATCTTTTTAATATATCAGTTCATTACTTTTCCAAACATTAGTGAGTTATTTCTGATCCGATAATTTTTATAATCTATCAATAATCTTTACTATTATAATAAAACTGTGTTGCGTGTTTGGTGATATTGCGCGAAAATAATTGGTTCTTTGTTAAAGTCATCAAGATAAAATTTCTTATGTATTGATACTTGTAAATTATTTACATTGCAATTTGGACATATAGGTATATATTGTATACACAATTAACGCTTATTTTTCTGTTTTTAAAAATAATTATTTTTATAAAAAGATCAAGAATCAATAAATTATTCTTTTTGATTATCAATTAGAGAATATCATATAGAAAAAAATTCACATTGCGTTTATAGCATTGAATTTAAGATAATAGTATAATAATGGAGTGGTTTAAAAGTAATAAAAGCATACACACTTTAATAAAACTATTGATAAACAATTTTTAAACTCGTAATTTTATATCAATGTACAAACTCATTCTATTATCAAGTAACAAAGTGAATTTGTACATTCGTAACATCACAAACTTGAAAACTATCAATGTTTTTTAAAGTATTTTTTTATTACTTTGCAGAAAATTAAGAGAATAGCATTTATTTTTTATTCAAAGCATTACATGGAATTAAGAAACATAGTTTTTTTTTTATTTTAAGTTTATAATTTAAGATTATTTTAACTAGAATTTTTTGTAGCACGTAGCTTGTGGAGCTTTCGCAAAATATTAGAAAAAAAAACTAAAATGTAGACGTATTTTGTGTATATAATTTTTGATATTTATATTTACTAAATTATTTTTAATTATTTTAATAAATAATAGATAACATAGTATTTATAATTATGCTTTCGTTAAAACATTCTTTTGTTATTCTTGTTATTGTTTTTCTTATTTTGTTTTGTAATTCTTCATCCATATGGCCTTGATCTTGAATATTTTTTTTTTTCTTTTTATCTTATTTAACACTGTTTTATGCATGACTTTACGCTGCAAAACCAGTTTTGCTAATAAGGATTGTGGCTCACGGTGAAAATTACCAATGTCCTAGATGCAATGTGGCATACTTAAATTTCTCCTTTATATATACATAATATACAATCATGTTGTTCAAATTATAAATCATAATTATGATAAACGGTTTTATTTTTTCAATAATAATAATATTCTTTTCCTTTGATACTGTAAGCAAGAATTTAATGCTTTGGTACCTAGAGTTCGATTTTATTAAATATTAATTAAATATTTAAAAGTTTTTAGAAATATCTCCAGTAAGGTCGCAAATATAATTTTACATTTTTTCTTAGTATTACAAATAATAATAAGTTAAAATATTATGATAATAACTATCACATTAAGTAATAATAAAGTAATTATCGTTATTTTCGGTTAATGTAAATGCCACTATTTTCGAAGTTATAATTTATAAGATTTCTTTAGCAATAATAAAGTCTATATTTTATTGTTTCAGAAATTTTTGAAATGTGGAAGTATCGAAATAGCCTATTTATCCAATTATGCTGCATTTGTCTCTTTGCGTTTAATGCAAATGGTGCACCAGTTGTAACAATATCAAATGGCACATTAGTGGGTACAATTATGTACACCAGACTTGGAAGAGAAATAAATACATACCGAAGCATTCCCTATGCTGCTCCGCCGGTTGGAGAACTTCGATTCAAGGTAAAAATATTTTATTTATTTAAGACACAAGCTAAATGTTGAGTGATTTTATCCTACAAGAAAGCACTCAACATTTAACTTGTGTCTTAAATAAATATTATATATATATTATATTAATGTCTGTAATGTTCTTGCTAATTCTCAAGCATGTGTCTTACGCAATTCTTCAAAAAACTTCGTCAGATACTTTTGTGATAATTAATATGCAACAACTACGTAACGGTATTGTAATAAAAGAAAAACCTTTTTTCTCTTGATTCATTCATCGCAAACTTTTTCCTCGCAATTACATATCGTCATTATTACTAATTTGAATATTGGCGACCCACAAATTATGTCGGATTTCTCAACAAATTCATTTGAAATGTATTGTACATGACGTATCTACTTTATCTCTATTATGCGGAAGCGGAAAAATTGTGTTGCAATCGATAATTCTTTCCAAGCACGAGTCGGTCGTAAAAAAGAACCATCAGTCTTGACAAACACGTGTGGGATGCAATGTAGAATCAAAATTGCAGTTTATTGTTGCTTTGTATTCGTGTGATATTCTGCTGTTACGAATGCATCATTTAACTTTGTATGCATTGTATTTCTGACATTACGTTCTGCATAAGTAGTTAATATTCAGAGAGAGAAAAGCAGAAGGAAGAGATTAGTAATTCTACATATACAACATTAACGCTACATGTATATGTTATACATGATATTATTAGATCAATAAAATATAAAGAACAAAAAATCTATAATAATTTTGTTAATTTTGTAATTTGTGTTAACTGTAATTTTTGAGAAAAATCAATTAATGAGATAAAATAAATAAATAACTTCTAATGTGATGACAAATTGATGGGATATAATATAATATCTACATAATTGTTAGAACTAATAGTTGCTAAAAATTCCTTAATTTAAGCGAAACGTATCACACGAGAAAAAAACTAGTCATATTTTTCTTGCATTAAGTATTCTACTAGTTGACTGCTTTAATGAGCTACAAAAAATGCCATTTTATAAATTTCATAACATCACTATCTATCTTATAATATTATGCATATTTCATGATGTAAATATATTATCTGATTTTAAATTTACATAGATATTCGCCGCCGATAGATATGTAGTGAAATTATAGTAATTATTTTTATATAATACGTCGAGAATACGTCTAATTAGTGTTTTAGATTTTTAAACGTGTCTCGGAATAGAGTATTCTCTTAATTTCTTATAGGTATTATATATTATATGAATAATTATTTGGTTATGATATTAAATTTAGATTGTGTTAGATTTTACATTTTCTGCTATATTTACAATCATTATTTAGTTTGCATAAATGTATTCCATATTTATTATCCCATACAAATCATGAATTTAATAATGTTCAATTTTAAATAATATTCAAAAAGATGTCTGCCACTGATAAATTTTTCATTTACATTTGCAAAATTCAATTTCTATTAATTTTTCTTTTTGTATTAATTCGACAAATAATTTAATATTTTTTAACGAAATATTTTGAAAGTACTTGTTTTTTATATTATTTAAAAAAATTATTTGAGGGATTTTGTTCAAATATCTATTTTACATTTTTTTAAATCACACATCGATTTGTCATTCTCGAACAATTGTATTGTTTAAAGTGGTAAAACCAGTTTTAATGAAGATTTATGAATGACTTGAAGTCTACTGCAAATTAATATACGCGGAATTAATTACACGACGGTATATTCTTTTTAAAGCCACCACAACCTGCGTCCGCCTGGAATGGTATACTACAGGCCGTGCAAGATGCTCAGGAGTGCACGCAACGTAATGTCTTCCTATACATGGAGGACATTATCGGTGATGAAGATTGCCTTTACCTAAACGTCTACACGCCAAGCTTTACAGAATCCCCTGAAAAATCGACATTTGCTCGATATCCGGTCATGTTTTATGTCCACGGTGGCGGATTTCTCGGTGGGGGCAGCCACTCTGCTTTTCACGGACCCAGATTCCTATTGGATCAAGATATTATCCTCGTCACTGTGAATTATCGGTGATAATGCTTTTGATTGATTGATCGATCGATTTCAATTCTAATTTTAGAATTTGATTCTTAGCCGCGCAATTACAATTTTTATACGCACAAAGATGCTATCTTATCTCTTCTAAAACTACCGAAAAAATAAAAATATTATCGTATTATAATGTTTACCTATATTTGTTTTTATGCAATTAGCATGGAAATAATCAAGATTTTGCAAATTAGTTTTTCAGTAACAAAATATATTGTAGCTGCATAATAATAGTGCATAATCTTCCCAAATTAGACTTGGACCATTGGGTTTCTTAAGTACGGAGGATTTAGAATGTCCAGGAAATCTAGGATTGAAAGATCAGCAGCAAGCCCTGCGATGGGTGCAGGAGAACATTGCACATTTTGGCGGTGATCCAAACAGAGTGACTATCTTTGGTAACAGTGCAGGCGGTGCAAGTGTTCATTATCATATGGTCAGTCCTCTTTCAGAAGGTAAGACTCTAGCAATGTCTTTATAATGAATTCGTCTCCGTATCGGTCTTTTCCGCTAATAATTTAATTAATATAAAAAGATATAATAGAAAAAAAATTATATTAAATGTAGAAATTAATTATCTCAATTGATTTTACCCTTATTATTTTAAAGCCGTCAAATTTCTATAGCAGTGGCATTCGCAAGCTGCCCAAAAAATGACGTAAGGTCGTCAACAATAATGGAAAATATTTTGATTATTGATCTCTTTTAGTTTTTTTTAAATAAAGTTTTTATTTTACTAAAATCTGAAAGAATTTATTTCTATATCTAATAAAAATAGAAAAAATGTATGCTAACAAATAAATATTTTTTACAATGAATTATAAGAGATATTTAGATATTTTACAGAAAAATAAATAAATAAGAAAATACAATAACAATTCAAATAAATAAAAATAATTCATATTGTTACAATATATTTGTTATTTTAAATAAATTGCAGTTTTTTTTTTACATTTTTTACAATGCATTAATAGCATTAATTAACTTAATTGATATATTTTATCTTGAAAAAATTTTAATTTTTTTTTTATACAATATAAAGTGTTGATTTACTGATTATAATCTGATTACGATCTACAATTTTATCGCAAAAAATTCTTAATTGTACGTTTCATCGCGAGCGACGTTATTCTACGTAATTATTCGTTCATTCGACGTAATTCTCAATCAATAGCACTGTGTATCACGCGAACATTACACAGGCATTGCGAATTTTCTATGAATGTATACGAGGAAACATATTTCATAGTCGAGTAATGCAGTTTTTTTTTAGCAGTTGTTGATATTATGCTAATAAAATCAACAAACTGCAAATTTGATGCTCGACGAACCGGTTTGAAGACTGATTATACAGCATTGATATTTTTTCTTATAAAATTTCTCAAGTATTAAGAAAAATTCTGTCACATTCTTGCGTCACACAACTACTACGTTTAATAACATATATTACAATTATGTAGTATGTGACCTGTTGCAGAAGTGTGCTTTAATTAAAATACGTAATGTAATTAATTTTTTATAAAGTCGCTGAAGGTATATATGTTTTATCTCTATTTTCCATGCATAGGTCTCTTCCATCGTGGCATTTCACAGAGCGGTACCTTTTATTGTCCATGGACTTTAACACCACCAGGAACTGCGAAGAAGAATGCTAAAATCTTAGGCAGTCATCTAAACTGTAAAACCCAAGATTCCAAAGAATTCATTGAATGTCTGCGCACAAAGACTGCAAAGGAGATTATTGGCACTGATCACATTTTCCAGGTAATTAGATTTAACATCTTTTAGCTTCGGAAAATATATAAATGACGAATTTTTTTGGCAAATTTACAGTTGCAAATATATATAGCATTTTTCAATAAAAACGGAATTTTCTTATCATTACAATTTATTATAATTTTTTAAATATTAAATATACTGTCTTATTTATTGTATCTGAAAGTCAAAACACAATATGTTTTAGATATGTTAATTGACTGCATTTATTAATATATATATATTATGTATTATCGAACATGTATTAATGTAACATTGAAATAATTAATATAATTTTTATGCACACCGTTTTTATTAATACAGAATATACATATTTTCTTTCAATGTTGCAAAGCATACGAGGATAATGTTTGATTATAAATATGATGTAAGATTCTTACGCGGATTGATTGCTGGTATTTGACGCGAATACTTGGTCACTTTAATTACTGTTCATTAAGCAACTTCTCGTGCACGTTTTACGCATTTTCTCTTTTCTCTTTATCATTTTGACAGCTGTCTGAAAGCATTCGTTCAGTTATTAATTGCCGTTTATGCGATCATACATGAGTGCATATTGTAGAAATATTGCGACATTGCGTCATATAAAATTTATACATTTTTATAGTATGATGAGTTAAGAATGCATATGTAAATAAATTATTAATCATCTCTGATATAATTTTGAAAGTTTATTATTTGAAGGTTTTACTATTATGAAATTAAATCACATTTAGTCCGTATTATTTATATCTGGCATGAATCACTTAAAATATTTCAAATGCATTCATGCGCAATTATTAAAAGTGCAAGATAAGTCTTATATCTTTCGCGTGCATCGGTCGAAGAAATTATATATGCTGATAGACACTTTATCGATAGATTGCATATAAATTATCTTTAAGGACAGTCACGCAATAGTTTTGTTTTGTTCCACTTTAGAATAGGTGTGTCTCGATGCAGAATTAAGATGGAGAGATTGACGGGTTATTGTGAAACCATTGTAAAAATTATAATTCTGCTGTTAAATAATATATCATAAGTTTTAAAACATATTTTTTTAATAATAAAATTATTTATAAAACTTTTTATTATTTTAGGTACTGCGATGGAAATATATAACATTTTTTCATGAAGAAAAATCAAAACGTAAAGGAACATTTTTAGTTAATTCAGGAATAAAAAAAATCTTTTTACTATTTGATTTTTCATAATATTATTTATGATACTCTACACTTTGTTTGCATAAATTGTTACTTTATTGTTACTTTGTTTAACACGGCAATAATTTTCTAGATATAATTGTCACGTACATATATTTCAAGAAAAGGTAAACATCTAATTGAAATGCAATATACTGACAATGAGTAAACGTATCAAAGTGACACGAGAAAGCAGTTTAGGAAATATACGCGTGCATGTTATATACTGATCACACAACACGCGCGCGCTTTTAACGTTTGTCAAGAGACAAACGATTTTTATTGATATTTACGTATCCTATATTTTTATCAGTTGATATTACACAAGGAATAAAAGATAAGAAATGTGTTGCATAATAAGATCAACAATTGTTTCCAATATCGCTGATTGTGATATCGATAAGAGGAATGCGTTTATCTTTTATAGAGAAACACAATATTTTATATTACTTTATCAATAACCTAACAAACAAGCTTACTTATAATTAATATCGTTATAGACACATATTTTTTTATTAAAAACAATTTTCTTTATCCCTATAATACAGAAATTAATATTATAATACTTGACGTAATATAATAATTTATAAGAGATATATTGAAAATCAATGCAATTGTGCATATCGTTTATTTCTCTTATAATTTTGATTTGATTCTGAATATTACTTTGATTTTTAGTATTAAATTATAAAGTGCATCTATTTAGCATTATTTTTAATTTGATATATTGCTTAATTGTTATCCAACAAAACGTTGTTTGTTTTTCTATAAATTATACAATTGTGTTTTCCACAATTTAATGTTATTATTCGTATCTGATTGCAGCAATTCGGTTACTGTCCGTTAATACCTTTCAGACCAGTAATCGAACCCAAACATCCAGGTGCTTTTATAACAGAAGATCCTGTAATCTCTGTGCGAGAAGGTCGTCTCGCTGATGTACCTTGGATGACAGGGATCACTTCGGAGGAAGGATCTCTCAAAGTACCCGGTAAGGACAACATGTGCTGAAATTTATTTTGAATATTAAAAATATATTCATATAATAATCATTAAACTTTAAAATTCCAAATGTAAATATTCTTCCTTTTTTAGAAATGTTTATTAATTTCTAGAAGGCAATTTTTAAAATTAAAACTTTTATTTAATTTATTTCTGTAAAACTACTAGCATAAGAGGTCAAAGAAATATTAATTATTGTCCAAAATTTTAAGTTATGTTAATTCCTAATATTTTTTAATATTTTAATTAAGATATATTAAGTTTAGTTTTTAAAATTTTATCATATTTCTTGATAGCGAATAAACCCGCTTATTTTTCAAATTTATTACACGTTAATCGTAACACATCTTTTGACACATTATTATATTCTACAATATTATTTTTAAGATGTAATAATTTGTCGCGAATAATTATATAAGCAATAAAGTATCGATAAAAAGAATATTTATATGCACGACTCTTTTCAGGTATTTATGGAGGAAACTTGGTTAAAAGACTAAATGATGACTTCATAAATATCGCGCCTATAAGCTTATTGTTTCAAGAAAAATATCGCCTTCATGATAAAAAAGTCACAGATGAGATAAGCAGCACCATCCGCAAATATTACTTTGGTCATGACGACATCGACGAATCCGACAAAGCCAGATTCAATGCTATCAATGTAAGGCAAAAAAAAATTTTTAATAATTTATACAAATAATAATTTTAAATTTAGTTTAGCTTAAATGTCAAACAGATGCTTTAAATAACAGATATTGATACTTTGATAAATTCTGTCGCTTTTTTAAATTCTTATTCATTTAAGATATATATATATATCTTAAATCAAAATTAATAATACAATATGTACAGTAATATATCATGAGAGGTCTATCATTTTTAAATAATATTAAAGGCATGGCAAAATTTTTGTTTGCGAATACAATATATTGATGTAAGTTGTACCGTAAATATGTGCAATATGTGCTTTTATTTTACATTATAATAGAAAACTTTTAATATTGTACAATTAATTTAAAGATTATATTAATATTTTATATAATCACATATTTTTACATTATGCAAAATTAAAATGATTGATTTTATCATATTTTATTATTAGTCTAACACATTAATATTTTATAGATGTACAGCGATGCATGGTTTAGTCACTGTGCTCACACGGCCGTGCGAGACTTTATTGTGAATCAAACTTCGCCACTCTATTATTATTACTTCGCGTACAGAGGAAGCGCATCCTTGAGTTCGATATTCGGTGATTCCAACAAAAATTATGGAGTAGCACATGCGGATGAATTGCAGTATCTGTTTCCTCAGGATTTTTTGTTCAAAGACTTGAAATTGACTGAAGATGATAATAAGATGGTCGATATTTTAACAACTATGTGGTACAATTTTGCAAAATCCGGGTAAGTAGTAATAATGCTATGTACAGAAAGCTGTAAATTGTATCCATGTAACGATGAGAAATTGTATTGTAAAAAAATTTTATTACATTAGTCAAAAAAATTTTAATTAAAAAAAATGTTTTATTACATCAGAAATTAGTATAATGAAATGAATTATATACTTTGATAGTATGTCTATTTAAAGATATGTACTTTAAGCATATTTTTATTTGCGTAATTATAATTCTGGTTTTCCTTTTGCTAAGACAAATGTTGTGAAAAAATTTATAAATAATGTTGAATAATGTTCTTTCAGAAATCCAACACCAAAAATTACAAAGTTAATTCCCTTGAAGTGGAAGCCGGTGAAAACAAATGACTCACCGGAATATTTGCATATAAAAAGCAAGGGTATTTTTGTAGAAAATAATCTTCTGTCGGACAGAATGACATTTTGGGATACCTTAGCAGATCGGATGATAGCCATTGGTGAAATTTCTAAGACTTCTAAAGATGAATTGTAATTTACATTTGCATAAATCAATTGCAAAAATTCTTTAAATATCGCCAAAAGATCAAAGGGCTGAGATTTTTAAGATTATCTTTTTTTTTATTATCTTTTTAATCATTTTTTTAATTTTTATATAAGATTGATTACATGTTTATATTGTATTAAATATTAAATAAAATTAATATAATAAAAATGCTATAAATTATATTAATATAATTGAAAAATATATTAATTAATATATTTAATCATAAATACATTATTATTAGAAAATATAAGGAAGCTAAAATTCTGCTAAAATGGCAGAAAGTACAATGTTAATTTTATTGTTATAAACAATAATTGAATATTACACAAAATATCATTAAGATATATAAACTATACATATACTTTTTCAACATAAGTGTTTACTTTTAATTATTAAAATAACTAATTCTGTATTATTCTGTATTGATTAGTAATATTTTGCGCCTAAAAGACATTTTAGAACATCCTAAAAACGTCCAAAAGATTGATGATAAGTGTGCCAACTGCATTAGTTGTTACCATCAATGTATTCGTAATGTTGCTTTAGCTAATCAATAAATGGTACTGTTATGAGCGAGTTCCTATATCATCATATGTTCCTATTAACAATATTTAAAATTCCGGCTAAAATGAAGTGTTTCTAACCGTTATAAAAGGAGATAGAAATGGTATGTCTGCTTGTTTCTAGTGTCCGAAGTTAGCCGAAGCGCACATGTACGTGGTTTGCGCATGATTCGGTATTCCCTCCATGCTTCTTGTTGCTGCGTCTCAAATCTGGCATTAGTGACGCCGCGCGTCAGTGATCTGGTGTTAAAGAACGTAATAGACGCTTTTTGAACATTGGAAGATATGTGTGGGATAGTTTGTTTGAAATTATTTGAACATTGTCATATTTCGTGACGACTTCCAAAATATTAAAAAGAATGGCAACATTGTTCTATAGCTATATGCCAGATTATTTTTCTTTGACAGATATTTTATGTACAGAGGAGCGAATATCCTGTAAAGTAGAGGTTACGTTACCCCGTTTAGGTATGTAAGTTTGATCTATTTTATTACACTACTTTTGATAATTATAATGATTTACTAAGAATAGCAGTTTAATACAACTCAAGCAGTTTAATACAATTAATTGTGACATGTATATTATTTTACATAGAATATAGGAATGTATCTCGCATATAATTATTAATATTACATTATGCACAATTAGGTTTTCTGGACCTTTCCTCTGAATCTGAAGATTTAAAGTCAGATACAAAGTTAGAGCTTCCATTATGGCTAGCACAACCATTGAACATGGCAAGGGAAACAATAGTTAGTGTAGACGTACCTAAAACATACAAGGAAGGCTACAGGTATGTATGTATGTTTTTTTTTCCTAGATTCAACAATTTAACTTGTTGTTTTTATATGTTACAGAGAAATTTTATTAGCAGACGCCTGTACTGTTGTATTGAACAAATGGAATCCTTATTATTATGAATTAGGGATGTACTTGAAAAAATTTAATAATCGTGATTGTGAAATGATAATTGATAGTTTGTTATTGGTAAGGTTATTAATAACATTATGTTAACTTGAGGGATAAAATGGTTTGTATTTATTATTTAATTATACACTATAACTTTCAGACTTTTAGATCAAGATTTAGATTGGTTATGGATTGGGCACAGAATCCTGTCTCCGACCCTACACTTAATAATTTACTGCCAAGGTTAGAGAGGGATTTATTTCTTGCTGGTAAGAAATCCAAGATACAGTTAAATGAATGGTTAAAGAAAGGTTCAAGTGTTATTGAAACTTCACAAAGTGCAGTTAATCTTAAGAAACGAAAGCGAACAGATTATGAACTGAATTAAACCGTGCATTCTGTGTGAAACATTTTTATGGTAAAGCAATAATATAATATCTGCAACAAAATTTTTTATATAAATGATTAATATAATAAATGGATGGAATATTAAATAAAATGTATTATCTTATATGTTGAAATCATATATCCCTTTATTTCAAGATAGAAACATCTGTAAGTTCTATTTATTAAATAACAAAAATTTTATTTACATATCTTGTATGGAATCAGTCACATTTGAGCCATCAACATAGAGGGAATCGTATAACTAAAAGTGGTAATATCTATTTCACAACCCACGACTAAAAATTGTTAAAATATCTTAGTAGATATGAAACACACTAATATGTTAATTTTCCAACGGAATATCGTTTCATCAGCGATAACGTTTCCTTTATTACATTATTTAATATTTTATATAACGAAACATTAACACTTTGAAACTATCTTCGTACAAAAATAGAAAATATATTCGCCAGACTTATTGTGCTAAAATCTATGACTTATGTAAAGTATGTCTTTTTACATAACATTATATATTGTGAATTTGTGTATAAATGTATTGTCTAACATTAGATAGACATTTCTCATGAGGAATTATCTAAAATTTAATATTGCAAATATGACACATTTTATACAATTATAATAAATAAGAAAAATAAAATCCCGAAGTATGCCTTGTACAAACTACTGTCCTCAATTTAGACACATGTTTTAGTTGTGTAAAGTTTGTTGCATAAATTTTTCAGGTCAAGGCCTAATCTCATCAGACATATATCGAGAATAGAAACAATTTACTGTTTCACATTTGCACAAAATTATTCTCAAAGCTTAGAACTATTCTTGCGTATCATAATCGTAGCACAAATCTGTACGCCTTCATTACTTCTCTTATCATCCCTGTGTTTACCTGATTATTACACTATTGTTTTCTATCAGACCACGGTGTCTACGTGAACATTTCGCTAGAACTTAACACTATGGTGACGTGCACTAGCCATCCAGATCAGACACAGCCGGTTTACTGACTGTTCAATATCCGCATGTACAAAATGCCAATGCACGCGCATTCCTTAGTACTATGCTACTAATGATAAATTGCATTGCAATGGCGCATTCTTCATTTTGCAGGAAGCTCGCGCTCGATAATTACTTAGCACGCGCGCGTCCTCCCCTCATCAACTCTCTTATAAAACATCTATAACTAATGTTTATACAACGAATGAATATATTTGGAATGTTATATATGTTATTACGTTATTCTATATCGTACTATTTACACAATTACAAAATATATTAACATCGTTTGTCCGATTCATGGACTGAGCAAAACAGTAAAAAAATATTTCTCGTTGATAGATGCGTAATTATCTCTGCTTATTTAATACGACGTACTTCTAAACAATGATTGAATCGAGCGTAATCTTATTTTTCTTATTTCTCCACGTCAATGATTGAAACTGGTATTATTCCGCTGAATTTGGATTTCAAAAATTCGAAAATTATTTTAGAAGCTAATTTTTTATATCTAATTTTTTTATATATAGCACAAATTTGCCAAAATTACACCGATTTCAATCCTTGTTTCAAGTTCAATCACTAATTGTGTTAATCACTAACTGTCAATTAGATTGTTGCTAATTATTATTGTTCATTATAAATTGCAACTGGAAACATGATATGTTGCACCGTCAAACTTACAATTGTACAAAACTCCACGTATACGATTCTAAGTAGTTCCACATCTATTTCTCTCAGGCACTGCTACTTTTCTGCTATCTTACTTTATCTTCCATTACATATCAACTTTTCTCGATATCAATAGAATACTTAAAAAAATGTTTTGTTCTTCTGATATGAAGTGTGAAATATGCCTTAGAAAAATACAAAATTTCGTTATATATTCTAATTGATAACATACAAGATCTATTTGATATATGTTGTAAAAAATTTTTTTCTCTTCAAAAATTATTATTAATCGAAACAACTAGTCAACGAGAAGTTGGATTCCCGATCTAGTCAGAAGGTGGACTCGGGCTCTTGCTTAAAAAACCTGAAGGCGACATCCTCCTGGGTGACGATCGGTGGTAATTCTCTCAAGATCATGACGGGCGAATTCGTCGCAGCCAGCATCTGATCGGCCTGCGGACTGAGGCTGTCGACGTTGGTCGGCGTCAAAGGACTGCTGCTGGGACTTCCGTTGCTGCTCACGTAACTACCCGGCGCAGTGTTTGAGATTGATATGGACGTGGTGGTGCCGTTCATTTCCGACGTGGTGCCGCCCAGAAGCATCTCCTGGAGCAGATTGTCGATGTGCGCCACTCCGAACAGCCTGACGAACTGGATCTGTTCGATCATCTGCCACGAAATCGACTGCAAGGCCGGTAACGTCAGCAGCATCTCGCCGAAACGTCCTCGACTGTCATATTGACGATCGCTGATATAATCCTCGAGATTGATCTGGATCTGCGTGCGTAGGTTCTTAATCTTCGCCGTGTCGGTTAAACCTTTCGCGTCTGCAAACAATAGAGAATATTAGAATCAATATGTAACAATGAGATAATCGTCCACAGTCGCAATAATTTGGATCATTTCAGTATCGTTCAGTTACGACAATCATTCTCGATTTGCGAATTACGTTAATTATAAATTAATTGACGATCGACAATATCGTATAATATTAAATTAAAGAATCGATTTGCCGGTTTTGCGTCGACAATTTGAGACACAAGTCGTTTTTCCGCACCATTATTTGTAAATAAGTGATGATATTGCGATGTTTATCAAAGTCTGGCGAACCCACGAGGCGTGATTGTCTCAACGAGATCGAATTGATCGCGAGAACGTAGATTATTGCGAGCGACTCGTGTTCGATCTATTGACGGAACACATTTACGCCTATCGTATACGGCAATATTTTTCTATTCCGTCGCGCATTTGCGTAATCACACAAATTATCGAATTGTCGCGCAATAGTCGTCTTTTCGCAACAGAGTTATAAACGAAACACTTACTCGGATCGAAGAACACGATAGCTTTGAGACAAGCGAATTCCGTATCGTCAATCTGGACCTCGTTTAACGGCTTTACCAGCTCGTCCATCACTCTAACGCCCACCTTGCTGATGTCCAAGTCCTGCTGGTTGCTGCCTTCTATGGATTGCAACGATATTACTGATAGACGCGATATTATGCCGTTCGTTCTTTCGGTTGTAGAAACTGAGTCCGGTAAAGGAGAGATCTCGCAGACATAACCACAAAACCAAATGCATTCATATCTCGACATGCATTTAGAATAGCACATAATACAAATTCCGGACTCAGTCCAACTACCTACGCCCCAAAGTCGTGCAAACGTAAGCGAGACGTTCAGTTAGTAAGTTACAAGAATACTAAGTCGCTAACTACTCTCCTTTTTATCATTTCTTATCATGAAATAACTTCTTTCGTGTAATTACGGTAGAAATCCATACACAAAACATAATTTCTATCGAATGATATAATTATAACGTAAAATACGTTTATGCTTTCACTTATTCGCACACTTCGTAATTACGAAGATTTCGAACTGAACGAGTCGCTTTACACGTATTCCTCCAATCGTGTCCTTCTTCCATTAAGTAAAATTAACCAGATAAAAAAAACAACATTTTATTACGAAACATTTTACATATAGCTTGTGACAAAATGCATGTGTGTATGACACAGCGTTTTTATTATCAATTGCATAATGCACTGGTATAATACAGCTTGTCGAAGCTGCTGTCTTCATAACAATGAATAATAGATTTCACGTAAAAGAAAAAAGCATTCTATTACAAAATCATCCATCTTGTCGCAAGCTTCGATTTACCAAATTAACATTCACACATCCAAATTAATAGGAATCAGACTTCCTTAGAATTGAATATATGTCTGTATCGATGCAAGTTTGAATAGAATAAACACTAAATTAAGAATAGATAAACTAAATTAATGTCAATTAAAAAATACTAATTACAATTAACGCTCTTAATGCAAATAACAGATTAATGCAAATATGGTTCGTTTAATTAAAATTAGATATTTGATTATGCAAAACTTGCATTGACGTAGAAGACGTATCTATTTTTCAAATGTCAATTTTATACATCATTGGAATTTCAAACCAACAGCGACAAATAGCCAACAGTAAAAAAATGATGTAAATATAAAACTGATGTAAAAAAAACATTTAAAAAATTTACATGCAAAAAAGGTTGCGAAAAATATTTTACGACTCACCAGATAAATCTGATGTATGAGGAAAGACCTATATTTATTTATCAATCAAAAATATTAAAATATTATGAAATTATTTAAACGTGCGCGCAAAAATGTCTTGAGTTTGCATATACACCGAGAAGAAAACTGTTAAAACAAATGTAAGCTATTACTAATTCTCGTATAAACAATTTTTCATTTAAAAGTATTTTTTTTTTACTCTCTGCATGGTAAATCACCGGCAAAAATTGTATATGAAACGTATGTGATTATGATTTTTACGAAATTATGATGAAATAAGATAATGAAATATAGAGAAACGTCGCGTAAGCAACGAATGAATGCGGCATCCGACACATGTGGACGGTAAAATTACGTAAGCAAAAAGGTGAAGGTCGTCGTCGAATCGGCTATTTAGACGAGGCTCTCTTTCGAATATACGCTCCAATCTAAAAAAAAAAAAAAAACGCTAACGTGAGCCGCGAGAAAGGACGAATTGGTGTCATTCCGATATCGACAGCTTTTGTCGACAGTCAAGATATCTTTCTTCGCTTGATAAGAAGCTACTTGTCGCAATATTTGTGTCGTGACAGCACTGCCGTTTGAACATTTCCGATGTGTTATAAAACGCAGCTTATACTTGGAAATTATTGAACTCGTGTCTATTTGTTAAGAAAAAAATGTAAATCTTTCGCGGTTTGTTCTTCTTCGTGTAGACACTTCAGAAAACTCGAGAATGTTTGAATTCATCCGAATTTTAAAGGATAATAGTAAAAATTCTAATATATTGTAGAATTCAATGGAACAGTGTCTTCAAAAATTGTATGTATATTTATTATATATATCAAAAATTTAGAAAAAGATCTCATAGCGAACACTAAGCATGAACGCGTTTAAATTTTTTTTAAATCGTTCTTCATGATTATTTTTAATAATGGTGTCGTGTCACATCATATATATACGATGATGCGTTCAACGCCCGCAAATCACGACAAGATAAAATTTTTGTGCAATACACTATCGCGGAGAAAAGTAATCAGAGCTTGCCTAACATTTCTTGCATGTAATCCAAAAAAAGGAACATTCCCACACTCCAGAAGGAGCACCTTTACCACAAAACTCTCAACCGTATCCACATATATTCCCTTGTTAAATTTAATACCGCTACTTAATGCAGCCGAAACACAGCGTACAAGTGTTATTAATAAGCGTAACCGGAACAAATCGGAATCGGACAAAATATTCGACGCATTTAATGAAACTCACCGATAAGCATTCATGCGTCTCCAGCTGTACGAATCTCAAAAAAAAACAAAAAAAACTGACGTTTACAAAGCTGAAAGAGATCTCGCGCATAAAAATGTCCAAGCGTTTCGAATGTATCTCAGACACAATTTCGTAAAAAGTCGTTCGACACCGTTCGTTCCGTTCGGGAAAAATAGAAGCTACCAAAACCATGCGATTCCAGAAATTTTCACAGACTCTACGTACCAGGACAGTTCCTCGTGATGATGTAATTGTTGCCCAGTAATAATACGTCCTTGAGATGCATGCTGCGCCTTGCCACCCCCAGTAGTAAGTGCTCGCCCGCATGAGCCCTCAACAACGCGACCTGATCGTCCAGCGACAGTTCGCTGAATGGTTGAATGATCTTGGCCCACTCGACTAGGATCATCAGTTGCTCCTTCATGCTATCACACACGTCATTTATGCCCGCTATCCGCTTCGTAGTAAGATCGATATCACTGTTCGGGCTACCTAACTGCTGAAATTGTTATGGCATGCTCGTTAAAGAAAATGTTACTTGAAGATGAACTAATGGATCGAATATGTGGAAACACGTATTATTAGAATGTATTTGTTCACAGATCAAAATTGAAAAGAGAAAATAGAAAATATTGTAATATTTATAACATTTATTACGGACTCGAGCGAGAAATAAATATATGAATAAAGTTTTAAAGCAGGTATAAGGAATGGAAATTATGCTAAATATCGCTAGAATCTAATAATTAATATAGAATATACAGCTCGATATGTCGACTTTTTTTTCCTTCTTTCCTGAGCTTATTATCCGAAAATTCAATGGCAACAAAAAAATGCTGTATTATAAAATCGTATTATTAAATGGTGAATTATAAAATTGCACGTAATTGCAGTAATTTTTCTGAAAATACCTAGCATAAATTTGCAAAATATGTAACGCCAAATCGCTTACAACGCTTTACAATTGCTGTCGAGCACAAGGAACAACGTTATTTAATCATTATTAGATCCAAGAGACTGCAAGAAGGAAAGGATATAAGAAAGGATTACAAAAGGACGGCGACAAGTATTCCTAAACGCGGTATTGAATGGAACAAACGGCCGCGATTGAACGTTAACGATTACGCCGGGCCGGATTCTTGGCACGCATTAACGAGCGGCAGATTGCGATTATAAATATTCAATTCGGCCCAGGTTAAGTCTCACTGACCTCAACTTGTCTGCTGAACCTATCAGCCTGCACTAAGGAAGCCACTGACAGGCCGCTGGCGTTGTTCGCCTGTTCCTCATAGCTGGGTCGCCGGCAGCTTATGCGATCCCTTTCGTTCTGTACGGCTACGGAAATTATCGGAACTTTCAATATATTTTATTTAATTTTGGTAAATGACGACATGCTCGTAAAAACGAACACTCCCATAAAAAAGTCCTTCACAAAAGCGAGAAGGTCCGATTAAAGTTTGCTACGCATTAACTAAAAAATAATAAGAATTGAAATAAGAGTCCGTTTCTGCAAGTATGTCTAAATGCATCATGTTCGATTCGTAAACGTACCCTCCTTCTTCATGCCCGCCTTGAAACATTTTCGTAACCGGCAGTATCTGCACTGATTTCGTTTGTCTTTGTCTACCACGCAACTTCTATTAAATCTGCAATCGTCAGAAAAGTATGTTTCTCCCATCAAGAAATGATCATTATCAGATTCGCTTGAAGGTACTGGCATGTATCGTATAGTCGCGTGTCGTGTGTGCTTCATCACTAGCAATAAGGAAAAACATACCTGCACGTGTACACGTGATTCTTCCTGACTGATCGTCGGAAGAACCCTTTGCAGCCGTCGCAGGATGCGGCGCCGTAATGCTTTCCCGTGGCGCGGTCGCCGCATATGGCACAAAGTTGCGAGAGAACAGCGTTGACACCCGTGTTAGAGAGGCCCAGAACGGAAGCACCCGCCGCTCCTACGCCCATACTCAGATCTGCATCTGCAACACAAGATATTCCTGTTAGATGTGGATCTCTCTAAAGCATTTTGCGCGTCCAACGATTTTCCGAAAGTCACATAAAAACGAAAATATCTCGATGCGTTTCACAAAAAAACGTGCGTCTTTTTTTGCATTACAATATACACGGATTCGAAAAATGTGCAAGGCATTAAAATTAATTAAATTGAAATTAAATGATGATTTGTATTTCCTAGCAATAATATTGTGCCGCATCCGATAACTGATTGCAACGCGGACACAATTCTAGATTTTAATAACATGGATACTGCGGCCGACAGTGGGTCAGTAAGGGTTAAGTATGCAAATGGTCGCAGACCTTGAGAAAACGCGACGATAATGTAATGTAAGTGATAAACCGCGTTAGTGACATACTTAACTAGTCTAAAGCTAGAATCGATTCGTGTAACACATAACTTTTAACATCTTGCTTTTAACATCTGTATATTCGCGAAATTTTTCCAATTGCCGATTAGGATATTGCAATACGGTGTATAGATATTTCCTGCGTCTAATATTCTTTTACTTAATCGTAATGATGGAACATGAAAGAGATGTAGAAGCCTTAGAATAATATATAAATATTCGATATATTACGATTAATTAACACGTGATACTCTTTTGCGCCTCTTTCCGCCAATTGTAAAAACTCGATCAGTTTTTTCATCTTTATCTATATCGCAAAGTATGCAAGCGACTATTTATAATCGTGAGAAATATTTGAATCGATAATGCTGAATTTAACGCAAAGAAAATCTTGAAAATAAAACTCACCAAAATTACGATAACAGTTTTTTCGATGAGACACCTGTAATATTATCATATCATCTATCTTATATCGATATCTATAAATATATCATTGATATGTGAATTAAATTATATTTATATCTTCCGCAGGAAAACATGTATCGATATCAGATAAGTTTATACATTTTAAACCTCCTTAAATCATTTTTAATTTTTTTAAATAAATATATCCAAATAAGAAAAAATATGTGATAATAAAGAGAAGAAAATAATGTTTTTTCATATATGACAAACACTGTATATTATGTCGTGATAATATAAACGAAATATTATTCTTATTATGGTTTCACTTTTATTTAAATTATCGCGAGATGTGCAAAAAGTCTCTTATCATTGTCATAATACGAGGATTAGGAAATCCCTGATTTTATCAGACTTATCGAATTTAATCTTCCGATAATAACAATTATCTAAATTCCAATTAGAGATAATAAAAAAAACAATCGGAAGTACTACAGATTGGTTTATTACGATTTTTCACTAGCGTAAAATTACATTTCAATTCACATTTTTAGTAAAAAGAAAAAGCAATTTTTTAGAGACACCTTGTAGAAACTGAATATCGCAACGCCACGTAAGAGAATGATACAGCATTCTTGAAGTGCAAAAACGACGTACAAGTTTTAAGATAGAATCGTAAAAAAATTTCTGTACAAATTAACGAAATATTAGTTATTAACATTAGAGATAATAGTTTAATTAATTTTATTAATGAATTTAATTCTACTATAAGAATCTATTTAAAAAAAAGGAATAAAATAAACAATTTTATTGTATTTTACAAGAAACACGCACTAATCACTACAAGTTGCAAATATCGAATCACTTATCGTTTGTATTTAAATTTTATTTTTAGTTTCCTTGAAATTTTATTTGTTTGAAAAAATTTGAATTAATTTTCCAGCAATAATATGTTTTTGCTTTGTTATTGTAGTCAACCTGTTAATTTTGTAAGACGTGTCACCGCGGTACGAGATGATTTTCCTCGTTTATGATCTGATCTATAATTTCCATGTGTAAAGAAAAACTAAAAAGAAACGAAATGAAGCTTTCGAAATCACTTGTGCAACAGACTATTTACCGGCTTATTAAATACATTTCTGTCCCGTGAAGGAAGGCAGGAACACGTGATTATTATGTACAAGTTACGTGTATCGGAAGGCAATCATACGGCTTGGAAGGAGAGACACGAAAAGAGAACTAACGATGCATAGTAGGACGCATAACGAAATATCGGTGTGTATACGCAAAGAGTAGATTATTACACATAAATATAAGTTTACATGAAATCTATTTTCAGTATCAAATATGGCTACATATTCTTCTCTCCAACAAAATATATCACGTTGGTAAATGATATCTTCATATCAGAGAGATAAGACTCAACATTAGACGCGATATTTATTTGCAGTTTTTACTCTACTAAATCATAATTATCTATTAGATCTCTCATAATTCAAAAGAAATTAAAATCTCAAGATAATTAAATAAAAGTAAAATTTGTACACGATAAACAATTACCGGTGTGTCACGTGCACAGCTCCGAGCACCGAGACAGACATTTCGTAATTTCCAGACATTTAATCTGTTTTTAAACACATTTTTCATACATTTAAAAACAGCAATTTCAGTATGATTCACAAAAGTATAGATACAAAGTGTAAATACAGCCCAACACACTTTTGAACATAATTATAACAACCAATTTTTCTAAAATATCTCATAAATTTTTACAAATAAAACAGTCTCACGGTTTTATTCATTTTTCTCGCATCTTATTAAAATTTTTAAATTGATTAAAAAGCAAAAAAAATGTGATTGAATAATTTGATAATGTGATTCAATGAGGCGTCGTAAAAATAAAAAAATTCAGAGTTGCTGTGCTGTATAAGTCGAAAATTATTCTTTCTTAAATCTCCTTTAGTCGAAGTATTCCATAGAGCTACTCAATAGTTAAAATTTCGTTCAGTTATGTGTTACGTGTAACCGAGGTCATAATTTACGACTCGATGATTATTCGGAAGAGGCACGAGGAAAGTGCTAACGATGTATAATGCGTGTCGAATTGTCAATGATCACACAGGTCACATTTACCTGTCCAACTTTTCACAGTGACATCATTATGACACTAATGCGTGGGCTCAATTTCACAGTCGCCTAATTCTATTTGCAATGCTTTTCGAAACAGCTGGTCCACAACATAATCATATGCCTACCTGTGCAAGATATAATATAAAAAGGAACGATACAAAAAAGAAAAAAATTTAAATAGTTGAAACATCGACAAGTTTTAACTAACATAGTTACACAATACTGCACGGCAAGGTTTCCTAAAATAGTTTCTAACATAATGTTTCCTTCTTCTTGGCCTTGGCACCAGAAATAAGAAAAAGAGGAAGTACTCGCAGGCTTCGGAAATATGCTGACAAAACACGGATGTTATTTTGGACTTTAGTATGACAACAATGATGTATAAAGTGATTTACGATCTACGTCCATCTGTTAAGACTATTGTCGCAATAAACTGGGCAGAACCTACCGCAATGCCAAAGTCTAACGCTTCTTGACCCGTTTGCTCACTCATACGTACGTATCCGCGTGTTCACACATGTGAGCCACGATCGCGATCGCGATACACCTCTCGCGATAATAATCCCGCCGTTTACGCGCGATAAAGCTGTTTGGCGCATGTCGGGCGCGTCGCGTAGCGCGAATGTCGGATCCGCACATTTCGCGGGGATACGCAAGTATCTCACCGATGATTCATGGGCTGTTTCATTCATTACCAATAGTGGACTTTAGGATTGATCCCAGAAACCAATCTTCATGGTTTTCAAAAGAATTCTGATCTGAAAAGTTCACAATAAAACGGCGGATTTAAGCCGGATACAGCTCACAATTCGTAAGACTTACTGTAGATACAAAATATATTGGGTTGATCAGAAAGTTCCTTCCAATTTTCTCATCAATTTTTATCGAAAAATCGAAAAAAACTTTCTAATTAACAACGATATTTACAAGAGTAAATTTCATGAAGACAATCGTGATCGAAACATGCCGCGAATATCAGAAGAAATCAGACGAAGAAAACGGTTATCGCATCGCGCAGAAGAATGCGGCACTGGTAAGTGAATTCGCATCAGCTACGTTACGTGAATGCGGTTTTCTGTGTCATCCTGCGTCAGCAGATCAGAAATTTGATAGAAGCACGGTTAACACGATAATCGTGGACTTCTCGAATATCTACAACTTGAGAAATTTCTTGACTCCTGCAGTATAAACTCCGAATAAAATTATATAACAGCTGCGGATGTTGTGCAATATTTATACAACTACCCGATCGGATTCACTCCGTTTTTCCGATTCACTCATCTTTTCGACATCGGATAATAGCGAAGGAGCTTTCGTAAAAGCGACAGTTTAACGAGCAATATACGTCCGAACGCATTAATGAGTGAATGAAAATTATGAACGTACTGTATTGCTCGGAGTCAAGGTCCGGTCGTGCCGTGATTATATCTTTCCTTGCTCTCACTCTCGCGCGTGGCTATCGTATTACAAAATCGCATACATATAGTCCGTCGACTTCTCTCTTTCGCGCGCAATCAACCATGTTACTCAACACACTGAAACGTGCAACAGGTGCGCGTCCGAATGTACATCTCGCGCGTGTAGTAGATATAATAGAGTACACGGATAATCTTGGGAATTCCGTCATTACAACGAAAACATATGCGATCATTCTTCTCGCGTGTCTCTTGTTCCGTAGAACAACGTGTAACATTCGCACAAATCGAAGCGATCACGCTCATATATTTCGCGAATGCGTGCTGTTTGTGCGCTTACAGGAATGCGTTTAGTCACGAGCGACTATTTAACAATGAGAGATGAAAAATGTCCGTTTTCTGTCTTAAGTTTGTACAAATTTAGAATTTAATGAATGATTAATTGATATAAAACAAGCGAAATATTATATTATTTTTTGTAACTGATTAAGAATATATTTATAACATGTTTTCTTTTGTCTCGCTGAATAAATTGTTAATTTCGTAAGCCGAAATTAATCCATACGGAAGTTTATCTCATTTCATGCGTGATATTCGTGACAATGTCGATACTAATTGCGTCAATCACGGAGTTGTCCTATCATTTTTCTAAGAACTGCGAAGTCGAAG